CAAGTAGGAAGAGAAAGCTCATCCGAGGGTGCCGCCCACTCTGCCGGAGCTAGGATGTCTTCAGTCAGTTCTGAGACTGATCCCGGGGACACTTATGCCACCTCTGCCTTCTCACCCTGCCATTGCTCTTTCCCGACGAGTAAGTCCACAGGCCAAGGGAGGGCCCAGCCCAGGAGTACCGAACTCAGAGGAGGAAGCTGCCTGGAGCGGCCCGGAGAGCCCGACAGGCTACCCAAGGGGAAGAGCAGGGAACAGCATTCTCGGCAGAGAGAACAGCATATGCAACAGAGTCCTGGCGTGTGACGTAACTTTGGGGCTGCGTCTTACTCTCTTGCCATTTCTCTCTATTTCCTCCTTTCTCTCTGGAAACAGTCCAGCAGATAGGCAGTCTGGAGGTCTGAGTTGAGCTTCTTGAAGAATTAAGGGTCTAATGAGCACAGACCTAGTAGATCGTGACTCTCGGGCCTCATCACCAGAGCACAGAAAAAGTGCCCATCTCAGCCCCTGGCCATACCCTGCTCACCCAGATAAACACGTCTCCACTCGGGCCGAGGAGGTGTTGGTAATGATTGTTAATCCCAGAATACTGGTCCAGATTTCCGCCAATGCCACCCCTGCTTCAAATCCATCAGGGACAGTCATTTTCTGAGCCACCCCACTGCAGGCACAGTGTGCAAGAATGGCGGAGCTCAGAGTCAAGATCTGGAAGCAATCCCAGCCAGGGGCTTGCCCTGAAACCTCCAGCAGCTGCTTCCTGGGCAGGAAGGAGCCCCAGACAAAACCGCGTCCATTGCCCTCTGGGCTCTGCGCTCTGGCTGTGTGACTGGGCGCGCCTCTGACCTGCTCTGAGCCTGTTTTCTCCTCTGTAAAGAGGCAGCATTGATCTCCATCGCTCAGAGAGGCTGTGAGGACGAGTGCAGACCATCCCATGACAGAGCTTGACATGCCTCCGCTGCATTAGACTCTTCCCCGAGCCTGGGGGGCCGAGCGGGGCAATCTTTCCACCTCTGGAAACGCCACCCCCACCCACAGCCTATGGGGCCAGGGCAGGCCCGTGTCTGACATCTGTGGAGACAGAGAACAGTGCTGGCCCACCTTCTGTGTGCTGGCCGGGTTTTCTTCACTCCATCCAGTCCAAACCAGGACGCAACAAAGAAACACAAGGCTGGCAGGCCAGGTCACATGTAAAATGGTCAGAGTCCCTGAACTTCCTCACTGGAGCGGGACCTAGCCCAGGCTCCTGGTCCAGAGCCTGCCTCCTCCCCAGCCACATGGCATCCACACCCATGCATGAGGACTCTCTCTACCTGCACATCGCAGCTGCATCCTCTCCCTGCTCACCCCACCCTGCATGCAGTCACCCATTGACAGAGTGCAGTACAAGTGGCACAGAGTAACTGAGACCAGGTCATAAAACGTGACACCATTCTCTCTCTTGGTCAGGGGATGCTCGCCCTGGCTACCCAGCCTCCATATTGTGAGGGAGCCCAAGACCCTGGAGAGACCACTATTTTGAAACACAGATTTTCTTATTATTCAGGAGCGGGAAGGCCCATAGACAGGAGACAACTGCCACTAGACAGAGAGGGTGCTATACTCAGCGTTCCCAAGAGAAGGGGGCCCACCATGCCTTGGGGGCCACACGGGGACACTCCAATCTAGTCAGGAGGCAGAGGGAGAAAGGGAAACTGTGTCTAGAGACCTCGGTGTGGTTTCCACGGAAAGGAACGGGTGAGGCAGGGCGAGCAGGCTGAGGATTGGCTAGTTTGAATAACGCCAGCGGCCTCTGGGTGCAGGGACTGTCCCTGGCTGCCTGGCACGGGGCCCTGAGGTGATTGGGGACAGGGAGCAGTGGCCTGCAGAGGGAGAGCCTCGTGGAGGCGTGGTGTGGGCTGGCTGGCCTGCAAGGGGAGACGTGCTCACAGGCATTTTGCCATCTCTAGGACTGGGAGGGGCAGCCACTCCAGCAAGAGCCGGCAAGGCCCCAAGGTGTCGAAACACCCGAGGGCAGTAAATAAAAGGCACAGCTGCTACAGCCAGCAGCCCAAGGTCTCAGGGCACAGACAGCATCCACTGTGACTGAGAAAGAGTCTTCGGGTGAGACCAGTCCCCCACGCCGCTGTCTTCAAGGAGTTCAAGGAGATGAGCCATTCCTACCACATCCTGTCCAAACTGCAGATCATCTGTTTGTTGATTTTTAAAAATATATTTTAATTGATTTCAGAGAGGAAGGGAGAGGGAAATATCAATGCTGAGAGAGAATCATTGATCGGCTGCCTCCCACAGGCCCCACCCTGGGGATTGAGCATGCAACCCAGGCACGTACCTTGACTGGGAATTGAACTGTGTGCGACCTCCTGGTTCACAGGTCGATGCTCACCCACTGAGCCACGCCAACCAGGCATAGCTTTTATTTTATTTTTTTAAGTCACTAAGTTTTAGAGTAATATTTTATACAACCATAGGAACTTGAACCAAACAGATTTCTCTCTCTCCCCAGAACTCAAGCTAGGACTTGAGAAAATTAGTGAGTTGCTAGCAGGAGGACAGGTGGTTAGGCTCAGAGAGAAACAGTGATGGAGATACAGCTGAGACACAGCCTGGCCAAGGACTTACCCCGGAACAATGGGAGCGCTGGCCAGGAGTGCCTGGTCCTCAGGGTCTAGCTGCCGGGGGTCAGCCGTGGAGCCCAATCATCCCGGAGGCCTCGCAGGGGTGAGTTTCTCCAGGGCCTGAGCTGGATCCCTGTGAGGCCTCAGGGGGGACAGAGAGTCCTGCTCTGGGCCCCTCATGCTGGTCCTTCCCCACGAGAGTCTCCACTCCTGTGTCTGTGGGAACATGTGGTGCCCAGTCAGAGGTAGGCGTACAGTAAGCAAGCAGCATGGGTGACACCGCCGCCCCTTCATTCCCCCGCCAGGAGCTCGCAGGGACTTACAGAAGCCGTCCGCAGTAAGGAGCTTTGTGAATTCTCCAGGTCTGGCCAAACCCCCGTGGCAGGTCTCCTCATTTCTCACGGACATTTTGCATTCAGCGTTTTAAAAACAGTTCGAATGGTTCCCAATGTCCAAACGTTTTCCTTCCTCAGTCCCACCTTCAAGCTCAGACCAGGACAGGCGTCCCCTTCTGGGCCACAGAGCAGCTTCCACGTGTTCTCGCTGGAAGAGAGAGGAAGCAAGCACCTGCCTGTGGCCTCTTTCCATGGAGATGGGCCTCCTCAGCCCTGGGTCCCCACACACCTCCCCCGCCCCCCACCCAGCCCAGCAGGCAGATGTGGGGCACGGGAAGTGCCTCCATGCCATGTTAGCACCAGAGCAGGCTGGGTAGACAGTGGTGGGTTCTGGGGGTCAAGACCCATATGAGGATCGGCTTCAGTGTTGCATTTGGGACGTGCGTGTGTGTGTGTGTGTGTGTGTGTGTGTGTGTAGGACAAAGCACAGCAGGTGGGAATGAGTGAGGGGTTGAAGGCAGGGGGGGGCAGGGGGGAAGGGGAGTGTGCAGAAATGGACAAGCTGATTTATTAACATTACTTTTTCTCCTTATATTCTCCCCGTCCCCAGTTCCAATGGAGATAGCCCAGCACTCTCTCGCTCTCTCTCTCTCTCTCTCTCTCTCTCTCTCTCTCTCTCCACCTAGGCCTCTGGGGAAGTTTGTGGAAAAATAGAAATCGCCAGCAGGCTCCTTTGCTCTCACTGTGACCCTGTCCATGAGGAGCGTCCCAGGAGACCAGGGGGGTGGGAGGTGGGGCTCCAGTGCCAGGCAGGGCTGGGACGTGGATGCCAGAGGGTGGGGGAGGAGGGAGAACCTTGCAGTGCCAAGGCGGGAGAAACCAGCCTGGGCAGACAGCCTTGTCACGTGTGCACTGTGCCCCAGCTTGCACCTGAGCCTGTGCACGAGGTAGCTTGGACCTCTGTGTGCCAAGATGTGCGTCTGTGACCACACCTGCCTGTGAGAGAGTGCACGTCACAGGCTGTGGGCATGTCTGGGTCCGTCCCAGTCAGCTCTGCAAGCACAGGTCAGGGGATGAAGGGAGCACCCGGGGCTGGGCCGGAGCCCGGGGCCTGGGAACCTGGGTGAGAGGCCAGACGCCAGCGGCTGGGCGTGAGCGGTTCCACCAGCCTGGCCAGGTGGCACCGTGTACCCTGGGACACCGGAGAGGTATCGACGTGGGGGGTCGCACCTCAAGGGGCTCACTGGCTCTAGGGTCACCAAATCACTCTGGGACTCTCTGACCCTCTGCTCCATTCAGGAGCCAAAGCCATTCCTGCCAGTGGGCTGAGGACCCTCCCCGCTCTGCATCAGTGGCTCTTCCTTTGTAACAGGCTTTCAGGGTGGGGCCATGTCCTATCCCCACCCAGAGCTCCGAGGGAGGATCTGAGACCGTGTCCCCTACTTCTACCCAAGTTCTCTGGGCAGGACAGGTCTTGGATTTGGGAGTTAGGGGGAAGTGACGGGGGTGTCTTCCTCTAGAAAGGCCTCTCGGATTTGGGTACCCTGAGGATGTACCATCTCAGCCCAAGGCCCCAGAGTCTGTCCCAGACCAGGCCCTGCCCTGCTCTCAAGCTCCCCGGGTGCTTCCTGAACAACATTATGCCGGGCGTCCTTTCCTCTGTGCTCAGGACCCCGGCTGACCTCCCGTCTCTCCCCCCACCCAGCAGCCAGCAGCAACTCTGCCCCTCCATCCCGACCCCAAGACCGGCTGCCAAGTGGGGCATATCAACTCCCCTACTCTCTACCCTCCAGACAAGCACACAGACCCTCACATTCCTGAGGGGTTCCTGTTAACACCCTGGGGGAAGCGGAACAGGAGTGCAAATCGAAACGGCTAGGTGAGGTGGAGGACATGAGTGAGGCCAGCCTGGGCTATGGTAAACCCCAGGGAGCTGGCAGGGTCAGGAGCCAGCTTTCTATCCAATTGGGCACAGGAACAGGACCTCACAATACAGGGGCCACCAGGGGGCAGGCTACACCTGCTGGACCACTGGTCCATTAGGGGCCTATGACTTGGGAGCCAAGTGTCTCTAGGTGGGAAGGATGCCTCACACATGTCCCATGTGGGGCCCGTTAGGACGCATCCCTGGGGATAAGGGCAGAGGGAAATGGTGCCTGGGAAGTCCCTGGTGTCAGAGGACAGAGGCATTTGGTGGGAGGGACCCAGGTGTGATGGGGAGTCTTGGAAAGGAGGGATCAGGACGTCATTGGAGCAAAAGGAATAGCTGTCCGGAAGCCCTTCAGAACGATGTCGTGGGCATCTGAGCGGGGAAGACCAGACTGGGCGTCTGGGGACCTAAGGGAGTCTCTGGCTTTCCTAACAACACCTTGGTCTTCCGGTCACGGGAGGGGCAGCTGCAGTGCACAGCCTCCTTCTAGGGCCCTCCAGCACCTTCCTTCAGGGGCTCTGCTCTGAGACCTCTCCCGCCCAGGCAGGGAACCCGGTTTGGTTTCATGCATCAAGACAGTCCCCAGGGATGCTTAAGCTGGCTTGAGTTGTTTTGCACTTCTACCTGCAGAGAAGAGAAAAGGCAGACCAAAGATGGAGCCTTGTGGGGAGCGAGTCAGAGAAGGAGAGCAGAGCAGGGACAGGCTGAGAAGGGCAAACCCAGAGGCAGGCCCCCTAAGCTCCCCTGTACCGTTTCTGGGGCTCCCTCTCTGAGGTTTGATGCGCTTTGGCCTTCAGTGGTTGGCACCTGTCCCGGGTCACTGGGGCTGCTCTGCTTTCTCTCCCAGGGAACCCCAAGCGCCTGGGGCTTAAGGCCCTCAGGGCAGCCCCGGCACGATCTGACCTGTGAGGGTGTGACAGCCCAGCTCCCAAAACCTCCTTCGGCCAACTCTGAGATTCTGGGTCTAGACCAGAACCAGCACATAATGAGCACTCAATAACTGTTGGTTTCATGAGCCAAATTTACATTTGTCGTTTCTGGAGTTTTTGTCACTCTTAGGCCTTTTCCCACCCAAGATCAAAAGGCATTTACTCATATTTGTTCTGGTGTATTTACTTCTTTACTTATGAATTTTGCATATGTAACAATTTGATCTATCCGAGGTAAATATGGATTTTTCTCTTCATGGCCAGTCAGTTGTCCCAATAGCAATTCTTGAATCTCTCCTTTATCTGTAAAACCTAGATGCTATATTATCTAGGCATTAAGCAATCATTTTAATGGCAGCTACAATGATGATGTCACCACATGGAAAAATGCTCACCTTGTAATTTTAGCTATTTTTTTAATAGCTACATAAAAATTATGTCAGCAGCTAGGCAAGGGCAGGGAGAAACAGAGGGAAATAGATTGACTAAAGGATAGGAGTGTTTTTATGTCTATTAATATTTAGGGAATAAACTGAAACTTTAAATGAACAGAATATGGAGAAGGGGAAGAAGGACTTAAAAGATAGCAAGCTGTCTTGTTGACTGAGCCTGAGACAAACACTTAGGTGTTTGTATGTGTGATTTGTTTTGTGTTTGCTTGTTTTGAGGTGACCTCAGGAAGCTGAGGATAGAGGATGCAGGTAAGGGGAAATTGTTACTGGAGAGTCCTGGGAGTCATCCTAGATAATAAAAGGCTAATATGCAAATAGACCAAACAGCGGAACAACTGAACAACCAGTCACTATGACGTGTGCTGACCACCAGAGGGTGTGCGCAGAACATGTGGGTGTCAGCAGCAGGCAGCAGAGTGCAGAACATGACGGGCGTCAGCAGTGGTGGGATGGTGGAGCAGGTGAGCAGAGGAGGGTGGGGGTGCCAGACCAAGGCAGGGCGCCAGTCGCTGTCATTGGGGCAAGCCTCTGGTAGCTACTGAAAATTCTTCACTCCCACGATACAGTCGATACAGTCGCGCCCAGCACTTGCGCCTGCTGCCAGCACCGGTCCTGATTGCTTGGTGCCTTCAAAGATGTGAGAGGCGGCTGTCAGCCCAGATCTCCCCTGATGGCTTCTCCACCTCCCCATGCTCCTGAGGGGTGATTGGGGCAGCAAGCCACCGCTTGCACTTGCCTATGGCACCAGCCCCAACCCCATTAGTGGGTGGGAGTGGTGGCAGCGGCGGGAGCAGGGCTGCTGGCAGACAGGGGACCAGGGGCTGTGGCAGGAGGGTCCAGGTGGAGGCACAGAGGATGGGCTAAGACCCGCCCCTTTGCCCACCACAGCCTCGAGGTCCACAGTTCCTTTCAAGGTGCACGAATTCATGCACTGGGCCCCTAGTTATTAGAGGAAAGGCCAGTAGAGAATCTGTAATAAAAACCACTTCCTTTGGCCCTGCACCCTGAGCTCTGAGCCCCTTCCCAGCCTCAGCTAAGTGAACAAAAACCTCTGAGAGTCTCCTACCAGAAATAAATCAGGCCTCAGGCTGTGGATCAGTGAATCCAAATGCTCCCATCACCTTGCCCTGGCTATTGGGATGCTGTGTCAGCCAGATAGCAGGGATGCTGACCTTTGTGGTTATACACTAAGCATTATCTGAGCAACCGTATCTCCCCACACAGCTATCTATGCAAAAGCCCTCTCTGACCCTAGAGCTCAGTAGTTTTCTAAAATAGAATGCAGAGAACATTTTATTATAATTCAGGCTCTGGCCCAGCCAAACCCACCCTCGTAACAGATGTGAAGAGCATCAGAACTAGGGACAAAGGACAGCCTGGGTGCCTTGGGGCCTTCATCTGGTCTGTATTGGGAGGGTTTGGCAGGGCATGTCCTGGGGCCTGAGCTACTTAACCAGGTCTTGCCTTCCTAACCAGAGAGCACTTCTCCTCAACCTTCATGGCTCAGCTGCCCCAGGCTATACCCTGGGGTCCCAAAGGTGCAGTTAGAAGCGCTCATGCCAAGGCAACTCACACCAAGACCCTTCCTCCCCCCTCGCACACAACCAGGATGTCACCTGAGGTCTGACTTTGGGGGCAACACACCCCCTGCTTAGAGCAACTCCCCTGAAGTGCTCTCCCCCGCTTCAGCCACAGGAGCCCTGTCCCAGGACTGTTTCCCTGTCCCGGGGTGTCTCCACAGGACCCTCACCGGGCTACACACCTGGTGAAGAGCAGACAGGCCTGCCAGCTGCCCACCCCACCCCCGCAGAAACGCGCTTCCTTAAATGTACATTTCTGGAGAGGCTCGCTGGTTCCCCCGTGAGCACTCGGCCCGGCTGCACCCAAATCTAAGCTCCAGTGAACGTGTAGGGGAAAGGTCCCATGGCCTCGCTCCCTCCAGGGCACAACAAGCCTGGGCGAGCCTGCAGGGCCTGCAGCTTTTGGGCACTTGAGAGGCAGCCCGCCCACTCCGCCTGGCCCCTAAGTCACGCCAGCAGGCCCGCCCCCAAGTCCTTCTGATTGGCGGAAAGCGCGCGCGAGTACGCCCGCCCCGCCCCCAGGCCCGCCCCCTGGCTTACAAAGCTGCCTGCGAGGCTCCAAGTTGGAACGCGGGGATGCGGGCGCGGAAGGGCGCCCCCTCTCCGGGCGGAGGAAGGGGCGCTTTCCCGCCCCAGGCTGGACAGTGGCCGGCGGAGCTTCAGAAGCACGGTCTCTGCCCCGCACGGCCCGCCACAGGTCCCTTCCTCTCCCCAATCCCCGATCGGGGCCGGGGGTGGGGGGACCCCTTTCAGTAGAGCACCCAGAAATTCCCATTGCCCAGGCCCCCCTCGAAGGGGCACCACCACGTGCCAGGAGGTGGGTCCTCGAGAGCCCCGCACGCGGGCTCTGGGGCGCAAAGATGATGCGGATTCCGCCAGCCAGCACCCCACGCCTGGAGCCTCCAGCCCGGTCCGCAGACGCCCCCCATCCTTCACACACACACACACACACACACACACACACACACACACACACTCCTGGTTTCCTCATCCGCAGGCCCTTCCGAACCTCCCGTTACCCGGGTTCCTCCGCACACCAGCGCCCGGGACCCCTGCTCAGACGCCGCAGTGTAGGCGTCCCTCTCAGCAGCCTCTACACCTGGGCGCCCCCCCCCCCCAGCTCTGCGGTCCCCCCACTGGGACCCCCTTCACCCAGCATCTCCCCCCCAAACACCCTCACGGGACCCCCAGGCCCATCCCACACTCTACCCCATACTCCTGCCTCTTCCAGGTAAACACCCTCCGCAGGGCCCATCCTCACCCCCGCAGCCATGCGATCCCTCCAGGTCCCAGAGGCCCCGAGGCCCCGCACGGCGTACCCCTCCTCCCCACCGCACACCGACGGGCCCTGCTTATCCCCCCACTATTCAGACCCTCCCCAGACCCCTCACCTCGCTCCTTTCTGCAGCCCCTGACGCCCAGGCCCCTCACGTCTACCTCCAGACCCTCTGTGGAACCCCCCACACCCAACCCTTCGCCCCACTCCTCTGCCCAGGACCCCCTCCGCGCGCGCGCCCCGCCTCGCCCCGCACCCTCTCCCCCCGGGGCGGCGGGCAGAGCCGACGGCGGCGGAGGCCGGTCCCTGGGCCGGGACACACCCACCCGCCGCCCGCCCCCAGCTCTCCTTCCCTCGTTCCCGGCCTCCGTCCCTCCCTCCGCCCGCCCTCCGCCCTCGCTCCGCGCTCGCTCCTTCCCCCTCGCCCGCTCCGGCTCCCGCGGCGCCGGCCTCCTCCGCCTCCCGGCGCGCGGCTCTCCCGGGGCGGCTCCGCGGTTCATGGTGACCGGGCGGCGGCCGCTCGAGCCCAGCGGCGGCGGCGGCTGCGGGGACCGGGGCGCGGGCCGCCTCCCCCCGAGCGCGGGGCCGGGCGGCGGGCGCGCCCAGGCGGCGGGCGGCGGCGAGCGCCCCCCCGGCCCGCGGCCCCCCGCGCCGCACCCCCGCGCGCCCGGCCGCCACGCCGCGCACCCATGGACGGCCCGGCCATCATCACCCAGGTGGCCAACCCCAAGGAGGACGAGGGCCGCGCGCGGGGCGCCAGCGAGAAAGGTGAGCGGGGGCGCGGGCGCTGCGGGCCCGGAGTTCGCCGTCCGGCGCGGGCACGGCCCGGGGAGGGTGCGGGGTGCGCCCGCGGGGGAGGCTCCGAGGGTGCGTGTGCCGGCCCAGACAGGCCGAGCGTGCCTGCGCGGGCGGAGCGCGTGTGCGGGTGTGTGTGCCTCTCAGCGGGAGGGGGTGAGGGTGGTGAGTGCCCGGCTGGGAGTTGGTGTGTGTGCTCCAGCCCTCTGAGAAGTTGTGAGCGGGTGTGTGTCCCCGGCAGCTTGGGAGTGTGTGCCCTGGCAGGTTTTGTGTGTGCACGAGACAGGTTGTGAGTGTGTGTGCGCTAACTTGTGTGTGCACGCTCCAGCTGAGAGGTGAGGATGGGTGTGAGTGCATGTTTTCCTAACGCGCTGTGAGTTTGTAAGTATCTCATGTAGGGGTTTGTGTGTGCCTAAGAGGTGGCGGTGTGTGGTGTGTGTGTGTGTGTGTGTGTGTGTGTGGGAGAGAGAGAGACAGAGACACCTTTGCCTGCATGAGCAGGAGCCTGCAGAGACGTGGTGTGTGTGTTCGCTCCTGAAGGAGTTCGAGTGTGTGATTGTGTTCCTACACCACTCAACTGGCAGGTTGCAATGTTGTGTGCATGCACGGGGAGGGTGTAGGGGTGTGTGCACTCTCACACATGGAAGCTGGGTGTGCACATGTGTGCGCCTGCCTGTACATATGGATGTGTCCGCCAGACAGTGAGGCTCTGTGCCTGTGTGTTTAGTTGGTTTGCAAGGCCGGTTGGGGCTAAGCCACCCGCCCTTCTCCGCAGTCTCAGTGACCCCAGCCTGCGAGGCCTGGTCCTCCCTGGGCACATTAGGGTCCCGCTCCGGCAGGCACTCAGGCAGCCCTGGGGTGGCCAGGGGTGTCCGTTCCCAGAGCCGCAGCACCTGGTTCGATTTTGCCCCATTTTTGGTCCCATCACCCACTTCCGTTTCCTCCTTCCTTTTCTTCTTTTTGGCTTGGCCCCTCTCTGAGACGTGGTGTCCCCTTCTCCCAGGTGTCCTGCTTACTGTTCCTCCCTTGAGCTATCCCGAGGCTTGGACAGAATATTCTGGAGGGCCAAGAAATTTAGCTAGTTTTGCGCTGCTGGTGAAAGCTGGCCTCACTCTCTTACTGCCAGGCCCCCGCCAACACCCCGGGGGGAGGTCTGAGAAGCTCCGCAGGAAGGACCCTCCCCTCGGCAAGCCAGGCCTGGTCATGCCACACCGACTTTGGGAAAGAGCCACATTTCTTTCCAAGTGTTACCACCCGGGCAGTGCCAGTGGGGTGAGGTGGGCACCCCTTCTGAGTGATCCGGGTGGGGTGGGGGAGCACTCCACTGCCTCATCCCGGGGGGAGGGGACCCCGGGCAAGCCCACCAGAAACATGCAGGAAACAGCCAGAGGGACCCTCCGAGCGGGAATGTCCAGCCCCTTTGCACTTGTGTAGACTGTAAACATTCTGTCTGCAGACTTGTTTTCTTTTTTGTAAAATGAGAACTCAGTCCCCAGGCATGTTTCCGTGCCTCACCAACTGGCTGCAAACTTCTACCAGGTGAGCCTCCGCTGTTCAACCTCGGAGCCCAAGCAGGCAGCCCCGAGGTGGCCTGGGCTTCCTGCCCTAAGGACTGTCGGGTCTTGGGGGGGCCTGGCCTGCGGGCTCTGGGCTGGGAGTGTCCCCTGGGAGGGTGAGTAGCATGCCTCCAGGAGGTGTGAGGCCTGCCCTCCCGCTCCCGCTGCGGACCGAGTGTTTTGTGTGATGCTTTGCCAGAGAGAGAATCCACAGCTCTGTGCGGGCGGGCGAGGTGGGGCCTACAGCAAGGAGGTATCTGTCAGGGCCTCAGCCCTCCCACCGCCCGCACCTGACTCCGGGATCAGGGCCTCCTCGGTGTTCTCTTTGCCTCCCGCTGCGGGGTCTTTGAAAGTGGAGTCCGTCCATCCAAAATCCCAACGGTGTCCAAATACTCAGGATGGTGCATGTTCTAGTCTGCGTGTTTACATTGCTTTTCACCACAGCCTTTTATCATCTTTAACAGCTGTTTTGTTTGTTTTCCAGTGTCGGGCTGGTTGATTGTTAACTGATTAGAGGAATTCTTTACCCCTTTGCTCTGGGGGCGGGGCAGCTAGCTAGTAGCTTCTTTTTGCTGAAGCATTACAATCCTACTTGGTATAGTTTTTTGTTTGTTTGGGGGGGTTTTTTGCTTTTAAAAAACGGAAATAATTTTGGTTAACTACAGCGCGGCAATAAACTTTGGAGCCAGCGTTTGGAACAGCTTCTTCAGATCCACAAACCACTAAACAGGTTTGGCAGCGCTTCTCACGTAAGCATGTTGACGTATTTAGATAGGCACAATGCGTTCTACATCCTTTTAATCCCAGGCAAACACTTCATCATTTTTGTTTTTAAACATGGGGCCTGGAATGTTGTGAGTTTTTGTGGGAGGAGAGAAACTATTTGGCTTTAAAAAAGAGTTTACTTTCATCGTCAGTTCTGTAAAAATAGGAATACTAACGACTGCCTCTTGGGGTTGACCTGAAGGTGAAATGAGTTAAGAGCTGTCTGCCCGCTTCCCCGTGTGTGTCACCGTTTCATAAGCCTGGCTGTAGGTGCGGATTTGCAGAGGAAGTGCTAAGCATGGGCTGTAGTGTTTTGCACGAGTTGAATTACTTCTTGACACTTTGCTATGTGGCAGGACTGTCCCTGTCAGCCTGGCCTGTCATGGGAGATTGATTTCCTAGTTGTGTTTGATTTGATGGATAGCGTAAAGATGCAGAGACAGATTTCCCCAGGAGTATAATTCCGCCTGCTTTGCTATCTGGAAACTGACTCTTACAAATCAATAAGAAAAAAAAAAAGTCAGACAGTACAGTAAAACGTGGTCAAGGGATATACACAGGGAAGTCCTAAGAGAGAAATCCAAATGTCCAATACATGCATGAAGAGATGCTCCGTGCACCCTATGATTCTTATGAAACGTTTTCGTGCGTCAGCGTGGTTCAACATGTAAACCAAGATTGCCCACATCCAAAGTAGTAAATAAAAGTTTTAGGGAATGGATGCTCTTAACGATTTTTTAGTGATGGAATAAATAAAGTGAGCACAGGCTTTTTAGAGAGTAATTTAGTACCGAATCACGTGGCTACAACGTAACCGAAAACCAGACTGACACTGCGGCATATACCCACAGAGGAGTTCGTTTTTCTCACGTAGCAAGCCGTCTGGAGGTAGGCTACGGCTGGCTTTGTTTCAGCAGCTCATCGGTCAAGGCTGACATCATCCCGATTCCCCTGGCTTTCCTTTACATTGTCACAGGGCTTGCCACCCCTCTGAATCCCACAGCCACCTTCAGGGCAGGGGCATGGGACGATGCCAACCACGTCTGTATCCCTTTTACCTGGAAAGCAAAGACATTCCTAGGGAGCACTTCGCATTCTTTTGCTGCTGCTTCATTGGCTGCACCTGGGTCACGTGGCCGCCGCTAGCTGTAAGCAAAGTGAGTTTCCAGCTTTTTTAGCCTTGGTTGTGGGAGGAGGAGAGGAGAGGATTGAAAATGAGGGGGAGCAGGTAGTGGTGCAGCCAGTCAGCAATGCCTGCTTTCCCTAGCAAGCCCAGTTCCGCTTCTGGGTATCTCTCCGATTGAAATAGCCTCAGATGTGCTCAGAGGAACACGTGCAGGGATTGTCACTGGTGGCTACATGGCTTCCAGGAGCCAAAGTTGGAACCTTCGGAAGTGTCAGCCTGCCAACGATTCGGCCATCGTACATCCATACCACAGACTACTGCAAGGCAGCTGGAAAGAATGAGTTAAGTCAGACCAAATTATATTATACTAACAACTAAATTTCCAAGACATTTTATTGAGGGAAGGGGGCGCGGATTTGAAAAACAGTTTAAATAATATGATTCTCGCTGTAAAAACAGGCACCTGCGGAACTGTACATATTCTAGAAATACAAAAAAAATCCAGAAAGAAATACTTCAAACTGGCAACAATGATTTTCTCTGGGGAGAGGGCTGAGATGGCAAGTGAAGGAACTTGGGCCTTTTTGTTTAAATATTGATGACAATGGACTCGTGTTTTCCAGATCAATTTTTTAAAAACTAAAATAGAGAAGAAATTCCTCATCACCGTATGGAGGGAAATAAATAATGTAGGGGATTTAATAATAATGGAACCAAGACCCCCTCAATTAATACGCAGTATTAGCAAGAGCGTACCAATGCCAGCTAAATGGTTATTTTGTAAGCTAATCCACGTCCCTGGATGGGGTTTCTCGTAGGCAAGTTTAGTTTGGCAGATATTTTGGCCCAAGGTGCTAGGTAGATTTCTCCCAAATGTTTGCGGCACTTAAGCTTAACCTTTGGGCTGCTAGCAAAATTACAGCATGCGGAAAACTCTTGGAAGCAATTGTTCTTTCAGATGCCAGAAGACATTTGAAGTAGATTCAGTTTGATTAACTTTTTAAACTCAAACCTTTTATTTAGAGACTAGAGGACTGGTGCACAAAATTCGTGCATGGGGCTTGGCCCTCACAGCCCCGGCTTTGTCTGGAAAGTCGTCCGGACAGTTGGCCGGAAGGATGTCTGGATGGTCGCTCTGCTGTTTGGTCTAATTAGCATATTAGCTCTTTATTATATAGGATAACGGTAGATTTACATGCAGTTTAAGAAATCACACAGGGAGCTCCTATCCCCTCGACCCACATCTCTCCCATGTTAACATCTTGCAGAACTATCGTGCAAAATCAGGATGTCAACCCTGGTATAGTCACGATGCAGAAAAATTCCATCACCAGGAAGGCCCCTCAAGATTCCTTTGTACAGCCACACCTACTTGTCTGCCATCCCTACCTCCTCCTTAGCCCACCAGTGTGTTCCTCGTTTCTAAAACTTGGTCGTAATTTATATGCGATCTTTTGTAATTAATTGACCTTTTTCAGTCAGCATAATTCTCACTCTCTGGATTTCCACCCAGGTTGTTGTTTGCATAAATAGTTTGTTCTCTTTATATTCCATGATGTGGATATACCACCACCGCTTGTTCATGCGTTCACCCTTGGACAACTGGGTTGTGCCTGGCTTTTGGCTGCTGGGAATAAAGCTCCTATAAACATTGAGTGTACAGCTTTTGTGTAAGCACGAGTCTTCATTTCTCTGGAATCAATACCCAGACATGCAATAGCGGGGTCTCATGGAAGTTGTGAATTTTTTTTTTTAAGACATTGCCAGGCTGTTTTCCAGAGCATACATATTGTCTTTCATTCTCACCATCAACGTGCGAGTCATCCAACTTCTCTGCAACCTCGCTAGCATTCAGTGTTATCACCGTTTTTTATATTAGCCATTCCGCCAAGTGCGTAGTGGTGTCTCATTATGGTTTTAATTTCCATTTCCCTGAAGGCTAAGAATATTAAACATCTTTTTATGTGCCATATATTTTTAGTGAGGTGGCCCTTTGTATCGTTTGCTTGTGGTTTGGATTTTTTTTTTTTTTTCCTGTTGAGTTTTGAGAATTCTTGACATATTCTAGATGTTAGTCCTTTGTCGGGTAAATGGTTTGCAACTATTTTCTCCTTGTCTTATATCGGTTTTTCCTTTTATTGATTGTACTTGTTGTTGTTGTTGTTGTTGTGTTAATCCTCACCAGAAGATACTTTTGCATGGATTTTTAGAGAGAGTGGAAGGGAGAGGGAGAGACAGCGAGAGAAACATCAATGTGAGAGAGACACATCTATTGGTTGCCTCCCACTTGCGTCCTGACCGGGGCTGGGGATTGAGCCTGCAACCGAGCTACATGCCCATGAGCAGAATCGAACCTGGGACCCAAGTTTCCATATAACGTTGACTACCCCACTGGTCATACCACTATATTCTGCTCCAGAGCGTTACATTTATTGTAGTCAGTGAACTTACATGGGCACATCATTATCGCCCAAAGTCCATCTTTTACATGAGGGTTCACTCTTGGTGTTGTGCATTCTGTGCGCTTGACAAATGTGTAATGACATGTATCCATTATTATAGTATCATACAGCGCATTTTCACTGCCCTAAAAATCCTCTTCATTCTGCTTCTTCGTTCCTCCCTTCCTCAACCCCTGGCAACCCTGATCTTTTTAACTGTCTCCGTAGTTTTGCCTTTTCCAGAATGTCACCTGGTTGGAATTATAAAGTATGTAGTCTTTTCAGATTGGCTTTGTTTTCCTTACTAACATGCGTTGAGTTTTCCTCTGTATTTTCATGGCTTAATAGCTCATTGCTCATTGCTTTTTAGTGTTGAATAATATTCTCTGGTCTGGATGCACCAGTCACTTTGTGAAGGACATCCTGATTGCTTCCAAGTTTTAGCAATTATGAATAAAGCTGCTATAAATAGTTGTATGCAGGTTTTTCTGTAAACGTACATTTTTAACTCATGTGGGTAGAAACCAAGGAGCACTGTTGCTGTATTGTATGGTAAGAATATTTTTAGTGTTGCAAGAAACCACCAAATTGGCTTCCAAAGTGGCATTACTATCTTAAGTTTTCTGAAGTTTAGTTATGATACATTTTGGCATGGGTTTCTTTGTGTCTGTCCAGTTTGTGGCTCACTCAGCTTCTTGAGTTTGCTGGGTTATGTCTCTTGCCAGACTTGGGAGGTTTTCAGCCATCGTTTCCTGAAGTACTTTTCAAGTGCTGCCCTTTCTCCTCTTCTTCTGGGACTACGAGGACACATTAGGTCCCTGTGTTATAGTCCCACAAGTTTATCAGTACTAATTAAAACAAAAACAAAAACTTATTTTCTCTCTGTTGATTCAGATTAGGTGATGTCTACTATCCTGTCTTCAAGTTCATTCATTTGTTCCTAGTCCCCTCCATTCTGCTATTAAGTTCATCCACTTAGCTTTTTATTTCAGTGTTTGTATTTTTTAGTTCTAAATATTATATTTAGCTTTTCTTTATTCTTTGCTGAGGCCTTCTATTTTTTTCATCTGGCTTAATTGTGTTCCTAATTGCTCCTAT